CAGCCCTCTCCTTTCTTATGCGCAGGGGGTGTAGAAGTACTCACACTGTCCTGTTCTTGCAGCTTTAAAGGTTGAAGCTGCTTTCAGCTCCTATGCTGGGCTGGCTCCTTCTCTGCTGACAGGCTGTCATTCCCTGGTAGACTGTGGGACAGTAGAGTTTCCAGCTTCCACCCTGCAGGCAGACCCCCATCTCTGGGGCCCCCTTTCAAGCTCCACACCAGCAGCACTTCCTTTCTCTATCTTTCACCTGACTCCCCTGCTGACCTAGCTCTCTCATAATTAAGGGATAACCTAGCCACCATGCCAGGTGTCCTGCTTGGGGATTGGCTAGATTCGCCTAAGTATGCAGCTCAGCCCTTTTGCACCCCTGCCTACTGGCTTCTAGAATCTTCTCCAAGTTTCTAGAACAGGAGGAGATATCAGAGAATTTACCTGCAGAGCCCTTCAGTCTTAACCTGAAGTAACCTTGCTGACTCACTCCCAGGCTGACTCATACCCAGGCTACTAGCAAGCCTCTAACTATACAAAAAAACTCTATTTTACCCTAGAGGGCATTACACCTGCAAAAACTACACTATTATTATTATTATACAGTATTTATAAAGCGCCAATAGTTCATTACAAGCTATGCGCAAAAGCTGAAAGTATGAAACATGGTGAGAATGGGGGCTTAAATGCTTTGTCTCAAACCTCTAACTGCCATTTTGCTTCACAATTTGGTCTGATAAATGAAATTGAAAAATAACAGACCAACTGGTTGGATGAACAGATTGTGACATAATGCATTATATAAGTCTGCTTTGATTTTGTCTTTAGTAACACTCTAACTAACCCATCAATTTAACAGCTTCCCAGGATGGTTATATTCAAGGTATGCAATGAATGATGGCTTTCACAGTTGGTTGCGCTCTCAATCAAACTGTGAGGCAACCAAATGGTTGGTGGCATTGCTGATGACATGTGCAGCACTATGCCTCTGGGTGTCAGCTTGTTATATGCACCTGTGATGAAGACAAAAAGCCAGCATGCCAACACACATTGTTCAGGCAAATCCCCATGATATCAGGCAACTGTTCCAAAGCAACGCAATGGGCACTGCAGTGAGTGCATGAAGACAGGGAGTGGTGGGAGGAGATCAGCAGCACTCAAATGCAAAATAGGATGAAAAAAAAAATCAGCATTTTATGAAAAAAAAACACATTTATGTTTATGATAGAAGTGCTTTAGCAAACTAAATGTCATCCTGTTATGGTTTACATCTACTTTAATTTAGATTTTTGACCATGCAGCAGGTGGGATTACATAAGGAACAGATAGGCCAGCTCCATTAGGCAATTTTCTGCTTCCTGATGCATACACAAAGCCAGAGGATCTTTTACCCCAACAGGGTCCACTCATAATCTAAATAACTTTTTTGTAGATTCACCCATGTAAAACAAAAGCTATTTCAGTTTAGCAACATTTATTTAACTTTCCTAACAATTTTCCTTCAAACCAAAATCCCACCTGTTTTCCTGCAAAAGCTCCACCAAGGCTTTCCTATTTATTTAGTTTAATTCCGAAACAATATTAGATTACTAACATTTCCTGCATTGTGGAGGAGGCTTTTAAGGTAATCCCTAATTTGAACCCTTAAAGGAAGGAGTAGGCGATTGTTAGGCAATCATTGAAAAATGGAAGAGAAAATCCAAAAACAGAACTCTAAATAGGAAAATGGCATTCAGTAAAACAGTGGTGTGTTTTCCATGAGTACACATTTTGAGTTGGAACTTCAGGCAGATATAAAAAGATACCTTTTATTTAACTTCTAATGTATTCATCAAAAAATATTTTCACACAAAATTAGCATACATGCTGGACAGGCCTAGGCAAGACCAGCTACTTGCAACCCCCCCCCCAAAAAAAAAAACCTTCACAAATGTTTCTATAAGTCCATTAAAAACCAGCAACATCAGCGGCAGCCATCATCAGAGTATGCCAGCTCTGTATGTGAAAGACAAGAAAAAGACCAAAGGAGGCACCACCAAGTGCAGTATTAAAGGACCAATTTAGTAAGCAAACAATGTTAAAACATTCACAAAAAAGAAATAAAATGTTGCTTATCATCAATAATGGTTCCTGTCAGTCCTTCCCATCCTAAGGATCATCCAGTGTAGGTCTGAAGCCATGGATGGAGAGAAGGAGAGATACCAGGATGCTGCCAGACAACCAGAAGTGCCTGAGCTTGGAATGCACAGGAGGCAGATGTGACTTCACAGTGGGAAGGTTCGATGCCTTGGAGGACAGGCTACATGCTCTGAGCTCTCTGCTCCTTCTAGAGGCCTGGAAGCACACTGCTGTATCCCACTACTTATGGGCACAGATTCCAGCATGACATTTTTTGCAACAATGAATTTAAATAAAGTAGAAATAGCAAAGAGAACATAGAACCAAAGGTAAAAAACACTCTATGTAATACAATATTCATCAAACAGGAGAGTAGAGAAACCAGTGGCCATAGCTGCACCCTAGGAGGCAGTGTGCCCTAGGCGGCTTCCTAGTTCACCTAGTGGTAGCACCGGCCCTGATGCTGGATTTGTCGTGGTATCAGACTCCTGTGACCCCCAGCACAGCTCCACTCTCAGGGTCAGGATTAAGTAACGCAGATATCAGAGCTCAGTAGTAATGCAGAGTGCAGAGGTCAGTAGTTGGTCATACTGAGGTCATGGCTGCAGCTCAGAATTTTCAGCCAGCAGTTGACTTTCCTGTAGAAGTGATCCAAGCAACTATACAGCCGCCAAATTACTTCTATAGGGTGCAAAAGATAATTTTGAGAAAAAAAAACTATATTTTTGACTTTTTACTATTAACCACTTGGCAACCACGCTATAGCTGAGTGATGGCTACAGCGCGGTTGTCCAGTCCTGGGATCACCGGTAAATGCAGTTGCCTGTTATCGGCTGTACTTTCCTCACGCTGTCACAGTGTGAGGAAAATACTGCCGAGAACCGGCAATTGTCAGAGGTAGGATCGACACTGATCATCAGGGCACTGATGATCAATGCCCTGATGATCCTTGCCCAGCAGTGCCACCCACTTGTGCCCATCAGTGCCGTCCACAAGTGCCCAGCAGTGCCACACACCTGTGCCCATCAGTGCCACCCACCTGTGCCTAGTGGCGCCATCAGGGGCAGACTGACAACTCATAGGGTCGCCGGGTAATTGGGGATCATGGGGCCCCTATGTCCTTGCTCACACTCAAATGGTCAGTCCGCCCCTGAGCGCCACCTATCCTGTGCCCAGCAGTGCCATCCACCAGTGCCACCCACCAGTGTGTGCCATCAGTGTCCAGCAGTGCTGCCAGTCAGTGCCCAGCAGTGACACCAGTCAGTGCCGTCAGTCAGTGCCCATCATTGTTGCATATCTGTGCAGCAGCATCAGTGCTGCCTCATCAATGCCAGCTCATCAGTGCTGCCTATCTGTGCCACCTCATCAGTGCCGCCTATCAGTGCCCATCAGTGCTGCATATCAGTGCAACCTCATCAACGCACATCAGTGAAGGAGAAAAACTACCTGTTTGCAAAATTTTATAATAGAAACAAAGAAAAACTTTTATTTTGCACATTTTTTGTTCTTTTTTTGTTTATAGTGAAATAAGTAAAACACCCAGCGGTGACCACTTCAAGTCCAGACACTTTCACCCCCTTGCAGTCCAGGCAAATATTTCAGTGCTATCACATTTTGAATGACAATTGCGCGGTCATGCAACACTGTACCCATATGAAATTTTTAGCATTTTTTTTAGACAGATAGAGATTTCTTTTGGTGGTATTTATTCACCACTGGGTTTTTTATTTTTTTGCTGTATAAATGAAAAAGACCAAAAATTATGAAAAAAAGTGTTTTTCTTATAACTTTTTGAAAATAAATAACCTTTCTTCATAAATCTTGGCCAAAATTAGTTAATAACCAAAAATTATAACTTTTCAAAAAAATTTGTTACATTTCTATTTTATTTTTTATATTATTATTTATGTTGGTTTTTTTTACATATTGTCAATATGGTGACACTGTACTACTTGTGGGGGGTGATAAAGGCTGTAAAAGCAATCATTTCTCCTTCTTTCTGGCTGCATTCCTACAGCCATTGAGAAATACCGTGCGAGCTGTGATTGGTCACAGCTTGTCATATGGTACAAGGCTGTTGTGAATAGCCTTGTACCCAGGGGCGGACTGACCATTTGGAAACTGGGGCACAGCCCGAGGGCCCGGGGCCAGTAGGGGGCCCCATGAGATGCCCCTGGTACCTTTTTCATAGCCTTTTTTGAGTTTGGGCAAGGACACAGGGGCCCCATGATCCCCTATTGCTCGGGGGCCCTATGAGTTGTCAGTCCGCCCCTGCTTGTACCATGTGACCTCTGTGATCATTCACAGATTTCACAAGTAGTAAGCAATGATGTCAGGAAGTGACATCTTGTTTACTACTATTCATGTGATCACTGATTGGCCAATCAGTGATCACAGGAATCGGGACCTCACACAATGGTCCCGTACAGTGATCTGTGTTCCCGGGGAGCATGCTCAGGCAATGGATGCGGGGGGACATTCTAGAAACGTCCACCCGTATCAGCAGCACTACAGTCTGGCCGTTTATTAACATGAGCCAGATGGGAAGAGGTTAAATACCACCAAAAGAAAGCTCTATTTGTGTGAAAAAAATTATAAAAATTTCATATGGGCACAGTGTTGCATAACCGCACAATTGTCATTCAAAGTGCGAGAGTGCTGAAAGCTGAAAATTGGCCTAGGCAGGAAGGGGGTATAAGTGCCCAGTAGGCAAGTGTTTGACCATGTCCAGTAAAAAAACAAGTCTTTTCAAAAAAAAAAATCCCAATATGTGTAAATTAGTTGGTTTATGTGAAAATTGTAGCATTTACAAATGGCGATATATATTCCGGAATTTTTTTAAATTATTTTTTTTACTAGTAATCGCAGCAATCAGAGACTTATAGCAGGACTATGGGACTACAGCAGGCATTCTGACACTGGGGGGAACTGACTTGGTGTCACTGACATGCCCAGTGACACCAATACAGTGAACAGTGCTAATAAAAAGCACTGACACTGTACTAATGGAACTGGGCAGGAAGGGGTTAACATGTAAGGCAAATAAAGGGTTAACTGTGTACTGTGTGCTGTTTCACAGTATGATGTGTGTAACACTGCTTTGTACAGTATGGCTATGCAGAGCCATACAAAGCAGTGTGCAGGAGCTGATGGGGGGAGAGATCTGTGTTGTTTATACACAGGTCTCTCCCCTTTGGTAATGCTCGAAGATCGCTGGGTGGCAACAGGCAATTACTGGCCAGTACCCGGTGATTTACAGCCGAAGCTGCGAATGGCATGTACCACCTACCCGGAACTGCAAAATCACGTACATATACATGATTATGCGCACCCGTGCCGCCCTGTAGCAGTATTTCTGCTATAGGGCGGCGCACAAGCGGTAATGCGTTTTAATGCACAAAGACACAATATAATACCCAATTGTTTGGTAAAATATAAAACATGATGTTACGTTGAGTAAATAGATAATAGGTACCTAAGATGTTTGCACAGACTATTGGAATGGTGACAAATTACAGTACTTAAAAATCTCCATAGGCAACACTTTGAAAGCCTTTAAATGTTACCAGTTTAAAGTTATTAGAATTATTGCTCTCACTCTGACGTTCATGGTGATAGCTCACATGTGTGGTGTGATGGCCACTTACATATGCGTGCAGGACCAACGTGTGTTCACCTTTGCACGCAAGCACGGCGGGACAGGACACTTTCCATTTTTCTATTTTATTATTAATTTTATTTGAATTTTCTTATTTTACACAACTTTTTATGTATTTTTTATCACTTTTATTGCTATCACAAGAGATGAACAACATCCCTTGTGATAGCAATAAGCATGACAGGTCCACTTTAGTCTCCAGATCTCTCCTCTGCCCTTAAAAGCATCAGATGCTTTTACAATCCAGGAATGGCTTGTTTACATTCCGGCAAAACCGTAAGGCTACGTTCACACTAGCGTTGTGCAGGCTGCAGAAAGGTGTTTGAGAAACGTTCTTACCGCTTCCCAAACGCCTCGGACAATTCTGCACATTGCAGCACATGGTGCTGTTCTAACGGGAGCGTTAGCGTCGTGTTGCGGCAAAACGGACGCCTCTGGTCGAGTCAGGAGGCGTTGAAGCCTCCTATTCTAGTCTATGGTGCCGCTCCGCAAACGCGGTGCAGTTGCGACACAGTTGCGGGGTTTGCGGAGCGGTAACACCATTCAAACTTCATTATAGGCGTTTGTAGGGCGTTTTTAACGCTCGGCAAATGCCTAGCAACCGCCGCTGAACCGCACATGCAGCGTTTGTGGAACGTTTGCCGAGCGTTAAAAAACGCTCTGCAAACGCCGGACCAACGCTTGCCAAATGCTATAGGGGCGTTTGGCAAGAGTTGGTAAAACAGTCAAGTGTGAACGAGCCCTAAGTGATAAAATACTTGTCCCTTCCAGTTTTCTTATACTATAAGGGCTCGTTCACACTTGACTGTTTTACCAACTCTTGCCAAACGCCCCTATAGCATTTGGCAAGCGTTGGTCCGGCGTTTGCAGAGCATTTTTTAACTGCAATGTGCAGAATTGTCCGAGGCATTTGGGAAGCGGTATTTTCTTTCCTATGTGGTCACTGAGACAGGAAGTATTCAACAATCTCTGCGGACACAATAAATAAAAATATGTTTTACTTTTATAGTGAAAACAGATTAGAACTTCATTCAGACTTTTACTGTTGTCTGTGTCCTAAATGGAGTGAGTCATCCACTTTGCTATCCCAAAGAGCCCACAGGAAACAAAATCTCCCCTGTGGGAATATAGATAGCAAGAAAAAACCTGACCAATTGTCTAATCCTTCCCAAATCTTTTAAAAACCAGAAACCCAACACTTCAAACCAAATGCCTTGGGCTTCCCTGGCTCTTTATTGTTCCCTGCAGAACGTACGTTGAACCATGGAGGGGTGTTGTGAAATAGAATTGTTTTATGATGGACCTGAAGTGCCTGGTGCATTTTTGAACATTTCATGAAAGTCCCTGTTCAAAGTACGAAGCAGGAAAAGTAATTTAGTAGTTCTAGCAATGCTAGAAAAGTTGTGGGATTTGAAAAGAAAAAAATGATGCAAAAAGCTGAGCTCCAGGTGGATACAAAAGAACAAATAAGGCCAGGTTGACATCTCAAACCTGGTTCGCATGTCAAACCGCTTAACACCACAGCAACATGTGGTTCTGCGAGGTACGTTTGTTTGGGAAAGTGTCTGGCACTTCTTTTCTGCATTTCTCACATGTAGGGTAGCCCACGAAATTAATAGTCTGTCCTACACACAATGCATGGGAGCAGGAGCATGTTTTGTCGCACCTGTAGGTGTGAACCATGCCTTAAAAGATAATCTCACCTTTGGGAACATATTACATGTTCCACCCATTTTTAGGGTGGAACATGTAACATGTTCCCAATGCTGTAACCATTGTCTGATCGCCCCCTCCCTGTGACAGCAGTATGGGGAGAAGTTCCCCCTACAAGCTGTCACTTTTTAAAAATAGCGCAGCCGTGTGCAGCTCCGCCCACACAATTGCATCACTCATTCACAGTGTTCTGTGAATTAATGAACTACAAGTCCCGAAATCCTTAGCGGCTGTCGGCTTGTAGTCCTCAATGAACTACCACAGTTCTGCTAGTTCACTGAGCACTACAAGCGACAGCGCTGTAGTCCTTGGTGGAAGACTACAAGCTGACAGCGCTGTGGTACTGTAGTTCCTTGAATCTTCCTGTCAGTATATCTGCTTGCATGTACATCCCATACAGGCAGCAGATATACTGACAGGTCTGCAGGAGACCTGCAAGGCACCAGCGATCTAATTAATACCAACAATGGGGCATTATTCCTCCCACTGATACCACCTATGGGGCACCCTGCTAATACCAATAAACGGGCACTATTCAGCCAATAAATACCAACAATGTGGCACTTTTCCGCTCACTGATACCATCAATGAGGCCTGTTGCTAATGCCAACACAAGGGCACTATTACCCTCATAAATACCAGCAAAGGGGCACTATTCCTTCAATTACTACCACCAATAGAGCGCTACTCCTCCCACTGATACCACCAATAGGACACCCCACTGATACCAAAAAAAGGGGCTCTATTCCTCCCATTATTACCAGTGATGGGGCACTATTCCTCATTCTAATGACTACATGAGTTATATCATTCTTTTACTTCCATTGACCACCAAGCCTGAGGCTTTGTTAATTCCAATCAAGCTTGAGTGTTTTATACTCCCACTGGCCACAATCCGACCCCTTAAATTTAGAAAATGTTAAGACCCCCCTATCTAGGCAAAGGTTCACTTTAAATGGACAAAAAAGCCAAGGCTCTCAGGCAATTGTCATGCTAGCTGAAGCAATTGAGGAAACTCTGAAAATACTATCACCAATGGAGCACTATTCCTCCCACTGATACCACAAATAGGGCACACCACTGATACCAATAAAGAGGCTCTATTTCTCCCATTATTGCCAATTATGGGGCACTATTCCTCATTTTACTGACTATGTGCATTATATCATTCTTTTACTCCCACTGACCACCAAGCCTAAGGCATTTTTTAATCCCACTGATTCTGGGACATTTTATTCTCCCACTGGACACAGTCCGGCCCCCATAAATTTAGAAAATTTGAAGACCCTTATCTAGGCAAAGGTTCACTTAAATGGACAACAAAGCCAAGGCTCTCATGTAATTGTCATACTAGCTGAAGCTATTGAGGAAACAAAAAATTGTTCCTTTTAACAAATAAAATATTTTTCAAAAAAGGGTGGTCATGAAAACAGTTACTCCATTATGTTTAAATAAAGATCACCATCCAATATCATTGGTAAGATTATTGGCTTTTCAGGGGCAGCACTCACTTTTATCGAGATTTGCATTAAAAATACTAAGCCATTTACTTTAATCAGGATATATTTGTATAGTCCGGATGTGACACATTTCCTGCTCTTTGGACTGATGCTGTCACGAAGGCCCTGGATTACAGCCACTTAAATTGTGTTTCTTTTGGATTTCTGCATCTACTGGATTAAGCAACCGTGGCATAGTATTTCCCATCATTTTCATTTAAATGTAATTTTCCGATGAAACAGAGGTCTTCCCAATTGTTGAAGAAGTCTAAGAAATTTCCAGAGCTGATACTTTGACTAACGCTTAATTTCTTAGTCTCTAGTGAAAGAGAATTTCAGATGAAATAGCTATTATTCACAATGAGTAAAAAAATTAAAACTTAGACAAAGATTGTACAGCTGGGGCTCTGGGATCTTTGCCTCATCGACAAATGTTATCACTTCCAGGAGCTCAAGTATCAAGTCCAAATTTTTTCTTTGGTTGATATATGCAATTCTGAAGCTAACATTTTTAATATAGAAAATAAAAAAATTAAAAAGTAAGTTTTTTTTCTGAGCCTTCCTTATAACTTGGTTTTACAACCTGTTGATCCTGCCACTGGATCTATTAACAGCTCAAGCTGTCCAGCAAACGTAGCAGCTACAGGAGTGGGAACAGGCCAAATAACACTGCCATGGGCTCTTACGATAGTAAGCTTTTGTTCATATGGTTAAAATCTTTTTTCAAAGGATCCCATTGCTATTTAAAAAACATTGGATTTGGGTTTTAATTTCTGTTAATTTCTGTTACTCTTACTTAAGTATTACTTAATTCATTTATAACCACCATGTGAGAGCTAACAAACTCACTGACTATTTATACAGACACAAATTGCAATTTGAAAAGTCACAAATGTGGGAAATTAACCTTTAATTGCCATTTTAACCCGTGTGTGTGTCACCTTGTGTGTCTGTACCAAGGCCAAACATTCCATTGTATGTAAACGTTTGATCATGGCCATTTGGGTGATTTCTGTATCATTATAATTTAAAAAGGAGCCAATCAACTGATAATAAATGGCTTCATATGATCACTATCCATAAATAAAAGACAGTTTTGTGGCATGATTAGTCATATTTTCAATATAAATGCCAAAATGTCACGATTGCAAACTTTTGAGCACAACTGTACATATTCACCTAGGTGAATGCAGCAACCGATGCTGCATCTGTTCCCAGCCACCCCTAAGACTGAGAACGGAGCGATCAAAGACCACTGATCACTCAGTTCTTGGTCTTCAATGGACTGCCCCTCCGTCACTCACTGGAGCTGTTCAGGGGATGGGAATGGCTGGCTCAGACTCTCAGTGGCACACTGAGAGGCTGAGCTAGCTGCCAGTCATGCATCTGGGAGGATCCCAAAAAGTATTGATCTCTCCAGAGCCTGGACCTGCATAGTGATGTCAGCCTGCTGTCAGCTGACTATGGGTCATAGAAGTGTAGAACTAAGTGCAATCCTGTGACCAACAGGAGATGTAGGGCCAAAGAGCTTTGACCCTACGTTTCCTTTAACCACTTCCCGACCGGCCGTTGCATATAAACGGCCGGACGGTGGCACTGCAGGGTCGGGTGGCCGTCTATAAACGGCCTCCCCACACCCTGCTTGTGCGCGCTCCCTGGGAGCGCGCAGCACCGCGATTCCGGTGCCCGCTGTGTCCTCCGGACACAGTGAAACACCGATTGTCGGACGGGACCTCGAGGTCCCGATCATGTGATCACTGATTGGCCAATCAGTGATCACATGCAAAGTAATAAGCAAGATGTCACTTGTGACATCATTGCTTACTACGTGTGAAATCTGTGAATGATCACAGAGGTCACATGGTACAAGCCTATTCACAACAGGCTTGTACCATGTGACAAGCTGTGACCAATCACAGCTCACTCAGTACTTCTCAATGAGTGCATGAATGCACACAGAGAGAAAGAGAAATGATTGCTTTTACATCCTATATGGGTGTAAAAGCAATGTGTAAAAACAAAAAAAAAAATCTTCATCACCCCCCCCCAAGTAGTAGTGTCACCATGGTGACACTGTACTGCTAGGGTGACAGTATGTAAAAAAAAAATAAAAAAAATAAAAAATAATAAAAAAAATAAAATAAAAATGTAAAAAAAAATGTTTAAAAATTATAATTTTTGTTATAAACTAATTTGGATTTTTTTTTACTAAAAAGATAACGGAATAAATTTTGGCAAAGATTTATGATGAAATATTATTTATTTGCAAAATTTTATAAAAAAAACACTTTTTTTTTCAAAATTTTTGGACTTTTTCATTTACATAGCAAAAAAAAATAAAAATCCCAGCGCGCAATTGTCATTCAAAGTGTGATAGCGCAGAAAGCTGAAAATTGCCCTGGTCAGGAAGGGGGTAAAAAGTGTCCGGTCTTGAAGTGGTTAAAGTATTACTAAGCCCACAACAGTAAAATCAGTCTGTATATGCAGTAAAGCATGCTTGTTATACTCACTGTGGAACCTAAGGGGTTAATCCTCTGCTTTGTGTAAAAAGGCTGTTTGATCCTTTCTTCTCTACCCCTCCTCTTGTTCAAATGTCCACCTAATAAGACAGACCGAATCCATAGCCCTTCTGCACATGCTCAGTTTAGTGTGTATTGCTAGAGAGGCTTTTTTTTTTTTTTGGGAGAGTTCATGTGATCAGCAAAGGGCCAATCAGCACTGCCCAGACAGAGGTCAAGGGTTTTGCATCCTCCTAGAGAAAACTCCTCCTACAAGCTTTAATCAGTGCTCAGCTGAAGTCAAAAGACTGCTTTAACTGCTGATGAGAAAAGGTATTTAGCCATTTATATTTACTAAAATAATCATACTTCTATATTGTGTGTACTGTGTGAGACCAGATATAGTGAATGCAGGGTCCTGGGTTTAGAAACACTTTACGTTATGACTAATTTAAAGTGCTGAAAAAAACATAAAATGACAAATCACACAGAGAAAAAAAAACAAGCTGGTATCAAATACAAAACTCATTCAAATGAAAAAGCATTATCATGGTCTGAGGAAGAAGCAGAAGTTTTGAAACGCGTTACCACCCACTACTACACCATCACGCTCCCCCGCTGATGTCACATCCGGCCCAGCGCCATTTGCGTTCCAGTCTGGTTGTCGCAGCAGACGGCCACTTCCTGATGTTGGGGAACACCGCTGAGCCATGCTTTGATTACAGCAGGGACCGAGACCAGATGGGAGATATTCGTAGGATGTACAGATATGCTTGTGACTTTCATCTTTCAGTGAGTTGCCAATTGTTTGTGTCAAATAAATTGTGAATGGCTAAAGGTGGCATGTAGTCTGGCCCCCTCTGTTTTTCTTTTTTCATATATCTACAGAGTCCTAGCTTACTCAATAAGAGTGGTTCCGTAGATGCAGCATTTCATATAAACACATTGGACTTTTATATGGACTGCGCATACCTAATTTCTCCAGCACCAATTTCCTTTTTCCTATTAACCACTTGCCCTCCAGAGGATTTACCCCCTTCCTGACCAGGCCATTTTTTGTGATGCTGCACTGCATTACTTTAATTGGCAATTGCGCGGTCATGCAATGCTGCACCCAAATTAAATTACGTCCTTTTTTCCCACAAATAGAGCTTTCTTTTGTTGGTATTTGATCACTTGTGCGTGTTTTATTTTTTGTGCTATAAACAAAAAAAGACCGACAATTTTGAGAAAAAAAAACAATATTTTTTAATTTTTGCTATTAAACATGTCCAGTAAAAAAAAATTAAAAATCAAATTTCATCATAAATTTATTCCAAAATGTATTCTGCTACACGTCTATGCTACAAAAAATCCCAATAAATTAATTGGTTTACATGAAAGTTATAGCGTTTACAAATGGCGGTATAGATACTGGAATTTTTTTTCTCTTAGTAATGGTGGTGATCAGCAACTTATAGTGGAACTGTGGGACTTCGGCAGGCATTTTGTCACTGGGGGGAACTGACTTGGTGTCGCTGACATCCCCAGTGACACCAATACAGTAATCAGTGCTAATAAAAAGTACTGACACTGTACTAATGGCATTGGGCAGGAAGGGGTTAACATGAGGGGCGATCAAAGACTTAACTATGTGCTGTTTCACTATGTGTGCTTTCCACTGTAAGCACACTGCTTTGTATGGCTCTGCTATGCAGAGCCATACAAAGCAGTGTGCAGGAGCTGACAGGGGAGAGATCTGTATTGTTTATACACAGGTCTCTCCCCCATCGGAGATACTCACGATCACCCGGTGCCGACGAGTAAGCACCGGCAGGGACCCGGTGATTGACAGCCGAGGCTGCGATTGGTGGTGTGGGTATATATATGTGATTTTGCGCATCCATGCCGCCCTGTAGCCGTATTTTTTAAAGAATATCCTATAAAATAATAATCAGAACAATATTAACTGATTCATAACGAGATGCTCTGAATCTCAAAACTGATCATTTGGAAAACCCTTAGATATCAGAAGGTTTCTACACAGATGAACAGAATTAATAAATGTTGATCCAGAGGAAGGCAAAAAAAACCCAGCAAAGCATGATCCAATTTGCTCCTGATGGCAAAAAAATTCCTTCCTGATCCCCCGAGAGGCAATCAGGTATTCCCTGGATCAACTTTACCTATAAATGTTAGTATCCAGTTCAGGGGAGACTGACAACTCATGGGGCCCCCCTGGGCAATAAGGGATCATTGGGCCCCTGTGTCCTTGCCCAAACTCAAAAAAGCCTATGAAAAAGGTACCAGGGGCATCTCATGGGACCCCCTACTGACCCCGGGCCCTTGGGCAGTGCCCGAGTTTCCAAATGGTCAGTCCGCCCCTGATCCAGTTATATCCTGTGTATCTAAGAAAGAATCCAGGCCTTTTTTAAAGCAATCCACTGAACTGGCCAGAACCAACTCTTGATAATTGTGCTGAGGTTTATATGTGTCTGTAAGACTCTCACGTGTACCACAGCATATTTTATGGGTACAGGGATTGTGGCATATGCAGGGCCAGTGCTTCCACTAGGCAAACTAGGTGGCTTCCTAGGGCGCACTGCCACCTAGGGGCGCCTGGGCGCAGTGCAGGCCAGCACTCTCACCGTGAGGGACGCCGCCACGTCATGAATGATCCTTCTGCTGAGAGGAGGGGTGGCAAAGGGGAGAAAAAGAAAGGACAAAGAAAGATGCCTGGTGTCTGGGGCCAGTGTAGCAGCTAAGCTCCTTTTAGTGTTCCTCTCAGATTCATTTCCTTACTACAAGCTGGCTGGCACCTGCTGTTCACTGTGAAGTTCTAGCCCTTCTCTTTCCATTCATCAGTGGAGGTAGAGGCGGAAGGTAATGTTAGACTCTGGTGTCTTGTGTCTGTGAGAATGTGACCCGGCTGGCTGGACATCCATCACATGTGCAATGTGTCAGTAAGTGATGACATCACCACAATCCCACAGCCTGCTCTTCTAGAGCCTGCTGGGCCTGCTGATCTGTGTCAGTGTTGGCAGTGGTGTGTCGAATCTGTTACTATGTGGATTCGCTCAGTTCAGCTGCCTGCTGTCAAGGCGTTTTATTTCCCCCCATTGCCTGGGGAATTGCTGCCTGGGATCTGTCAGAGTGTGGATCCATCATCCTCCACTCACTGCAACTATCACCTGCCACTGCCAGCCACAGAAAGAGTCAATCCGTGTCATTGATTTGTCTTTAACATTGGTGCTGGTGGCATCTTATGGCACTTATTTTTGCAAATTAAAAGAAATTTAGCAGTTTCCTGCTTTGTTGATTTAATATTTTCTTCTGTTTTTAATTAAATTTTTTTTGGGGGGAGGCGCAAGTAGCTGGTCTTGCCTAGAGCGCAAAATAGTCTAGCACCAGCCCTGGGCATGCTGCATGTGTGATGTGCATACAGCACGTAGGATTAGGTTTTATTAAACCATGCCAATTTGGCCACACCCACCAGCCTTTCCTACACATGCCGCATTATTGCTCTCCTTACAGTCTCCAAAGGTTACAATCCTAGCAGCACCCCTAGTGACAGAGATGGACCATGCTTATATGAGATATCACAGGCTGGGTTTATATTTTACTTTAAAGTGGTATTAAACCCAAAAGCATACATTATGTTGCAACTTACCAATTCTTAGATGTGATGGCTGCATTAGTTTCCATTTTTAGGCTTTCTTTCCTTTATTTTCAACTTGTGATCTGGCCAATAAATCTGTTGTTTTTCAACAGAACAAGTTCTCCTGCAAATGTAGCAGTTAGAGTGTTGAGACAAACCATTTACCACTGACAGGGGTGCTTACAATGATTATCTTTTATTTATTTATGTAAAATTTTTATCCCAAAAGGAAAAAACTGTTGCTGTAGCTGCTTAATAAGAGTTAGCTGGAGTCTATCTTCAATTTATTAGTGTATCTAAATCTGCTAGTCCATCTAACACTTGCCTCCCTCCAGACTGACAGTGCTGCTGTCCTGTGCTCCTTCATCCAGCGCGGGGGCACTCTAGTACAGGAGGTGTGTTACTGGCTAGATCCCCAGATGAAAACGGGGGAAAGTCTAAGTCTAGGTAAACACCAATGCAGGTTGCGTTGGCTGCGTTTCTGCATTGCGTATGATTTTGCACTTTAATTTTTGCAGCGGTTTGCGGGGTTTTGTTTTTTTTTTTCCGCTATGTGCATTAGGCCAAGTAAGAGATAAGCCAGCATTCTATAGTGCAACCCGCAGATTTATTCCCATATGGAAGAAAAATATATTTTAAATATATTTTGAAAATAGTCTTCCCAAATATATTGACATGTAATTGAAATACTACAATTTTAGCTGTATTCAATATATTAAAATATATATACTGTATGTTGAAATTCGTTTTTTATATATTACAAAATATATGAAAAATATTTTTAAAAATATGTATTTATTTAAATATATTCTTCAGATTTTTTTTAACAAAAAAAAAGTAATTTTAACATATATTTTTACATAAATGTATAAATGCATTCCAAAAATGTAGATTAAATATATTTATAAAGACATACAGTATATATGTGTTTATATATATATTTATTTTTTATATATAAGTATATTTTTTTTGTATATATATATATATTTATTTTTAATATATTGAATACGGCAAAAATTGTAGTATTTCAAATACATGTCAATATATTTGGGAAGAATATTTTAAAAATATATTTTTCTTCCATGTGGGTTTTATTAAGTATACATAAATAAAGTGTGGCGCTTAATGAATAAAATAATAAAATAAATATTCAGATGATCTGAAAAGCACAGTAAGGTATGGGACACAAACTATGATAAATAACGCAGAAAAAAAAGGTGACTAATACATCAAGTGAAAAAACATAACAATGTCCAGACAAAATGTCGCAGGATCCTGTGTGTAAAAAGCTGGATATATCAGGATCAAATGGTAGAATTGCGCACTCACCGGACGCGCTAAGGATATGCGCATATGACAAACAGACCACCGGAAATCCCTCATCTAGTGGGGAGAGTAGAGATATCCATCTGGGCACAGATAATCCTGATGCTCCCTCTAATTGGTGTGTGGTAAGCAGTTTCCAGATCCAGGAGTCCACTCAGGGCTGATTAAACCTTTCCTTATAGGTATGGAACTCCCTCGGTGGCAATAGTAGGCAATAGGGTATCCTGGAATTAGCTCCAAAAGGAGCCAAAAAAAAAAAAAAAAAGTGCCTCATAGTGTAGTATTGTTTTAAAAACGAAAAATTTATTGTGTATATACAGCATAAAAACAGGGTGGAAACACTCAGGGAATAAAAGAGTGACTGACCCAAAAGTAAGATGGCCGCCGGGCCTCCTCGTGGCTCCGGGCGGCTAAGACGTCACGCTCTGTTGGCTCCTCCTAAGGCCTTTCGTGCCAGTGCACATCATCAGAGGGGTTTTATTAAGTATTTGTGCATCTAGTCACACACAGTACAAGGATAAATTGCATGTAAGCACAATCACCACCACTGCTAGCTCCAGCTGGTCTAATGATATCAGCATAAGCTTCGCTCCCAACGTGTCCCCTGTGCTCTTTCATCCAGAGTGGGGGCACTCTAATACAGGAGGTGTGTTACTGGCCAGATCACCAGGTGAAAACAGAGAGGAAAAGCCTAAGAAAAGAAAACAAATTCAGCCACCACATCTAATGATTGGCAAGCTGCAATTTATTAAATTTTTTTAGTTTTGGGTTTAAATCAGCCTATTAAAGTCTCTTATTGTAACTTAAAGTGGTAGTAAACTCTGTTTTTTAATTTTACCTACAGGTAAGCTTATAATAAAGCTTACCTGTAGGTAAAATGAATATCTCCTAACTGCGCACCGTTTAGGAGATATTCTCTCTTCATTTAATCCAGCGCATGCGCTCTGAAGGAACTGCATACCATTCCTTCAGAGCTGTGTGCCGTGGCCCAGGACTCCCGCGCACATGTGCGGGAGTGACGTCATTACGGCCCGGCCTGTCAGAAGGAAGACAGGTGAAGATGGAAGCCCCTACAACACTGACAACGTGCCACTGGAGGGCTTCATTTTAAGGTAGGTTTTACATAATGGGCTGGTATGCAATGCCTACTAGCACATTCTGACATTACCTTGCAGGGGACTTTTTTTTTTTTGTCCTCAGTTACTACCACTTCCCACCTGGCAAATGTACATAAATGGCCAGGTGGGAGCTTACACGTTCTGAGTGGACGTTCCTGTACATCCCTCAGAACACAGGCCTGTGCGCGCCCCCGAAGCTGTACAGCAACACGATTCATCCAAGGACACAATCCATCATGAATCAGGATATGCACTCTCTGATTGGCCTTCCCGATCACAGGATGGCTGTGTCCAATCACAGCCATCTCAGAATGTCAACAGAGACACATGTCTCTGTAGCTGTTGCCCTCCTCTGAGCTCTGTGAGAGCTCAGTGGGGAGGAGTGGGGTGCTGCAAACTGTGACAGTTGATCTGTGTAGCTGATGAGTTTAATCATCAGTTACACAGATCTGCAGCCATCCCACACCAGTGCACCAAGCACCAGTTGTCCCTGTTCACAGTCCACATCTGTCAGTGTCCCACAAACATCCGTCAACATCTGTCAGTGTACAGTACACAAAAACATCTGTCACAGCATACCAGTGCACAAAACTAATAAATAATAATAGAAAAAATGTAAAGTACCCCCGTCCCTCCTTGCTCAAGGTGAACACATGCATTGGTCTCATACGCATACA